AAAGCAAGGGGTTACTCTGTAATGGGATGCGAAAGAGAAATACGATGCAATAATCAATCGCCACAGCGTATTACGTATGATGCATTTGCCTAGCGCATCGCTCTTTCGTATCGCATTACAGAGTAGCCCCCCCAGGTGGCAACCCTATTCCAAAAAATAAAGTCTTGTTGCACACCTAATGGCCAAGCCGTTTCATTTGACATCTTATATTTGGGGATCATCTGGAGCCCAAGCCCTTTCATTTAACAACTCACCTTTTAGTCCAACGAACAGCGACAAAATAAATCGTTATTGCACATCTGAGGGCAAGCCCTTTCCTTTCATACTTAATATTTTTAAATTGAATGAAATGTGCAACTGTATGTAAGGCAGTAACTTTTAAATAGTTGGCAACCCCACTAAAAAAAGAAGCTCATTACACATCCGAAGACCATATCCTTTCACCCGGTACCTCATTTTTTAGTCCAACGAACTGAGAAGATCTTAACACGTTTAAAAACTGTACTCAATAAAAAATACGTTATTGAACATTTAGAGGCAAAGTTCTTTCATTTGACATCTCACTTTTTGTAATGCACCCAACGGATCTTAAATTTTTTTAGACAGATGACAACCCTATCGAAGCACGAAAGATAATACCCCTGTAGATACAGATTATATTAAGCAAAATCTCTTCCAAGTCCGTTCAGTAATTTTCGAGATTAGCTTGGTCAAAAAATCTCGACTTTGCTATATTATAAAATAAGGATAAAATAGTAATTTTAAAATAGGTGCAACCCTACTCGAAATAAATAAAGAATTTTGTACCCGGGAAGCATGATTCCATAAGAAAAGGTTTGTTCAGAAAAACAGTTGTCTCTCTCTTGACAAAATCAGCTCCCTTAGCAAGGCCCTGTGTGTGGGTGCGTGTGTGTGTGCAAACTTTTGTGATGGAGTGTCAAAACTCGAATGCCACTAGTGAGCAAACCTTTAATTATTGGATCATGCATGCGAAGGTCATGCCCTTTCATTTCGTATCTCATTTTGTTATCCAATGTACGATGAAAGTCTTATAATTTTTAAACAGGTGGCAACCCTACTAAAAAAAAAATACATATAGAGCGTTCCAGAACGTCTACGCTTTGCAGGTTTTGCGATGATTGGCAGTTGTTGTTTCCGGCGATTAAAGGGATAAGCAGCGAGATGTCCTTGATTTTTCATAATGCCTCAAGAATTGTCTTCCGGAATGAGGGTTTTTCCATACATTGGAATTAAGGATGTAGTATCGAATACCAAAAGTGTTATATCTTCTTCTTCTTCTTTTTTGGCGCTGTAACCGCCTAAGCGATTTTGGCCGAGTTCAGCAAAGCACGCCAGTCGTTTCTCCTCTGTGCCAACTGACGCCAATTGGAAACGCCAAGTGAAGCCAAGTCCTTCTCCACCTGATCTTTCCATCGCAGTGG